CCAGACGCTGAAATTCCCAAGCAAGATAGCGAAAGCTCGATTTGGCAAATACGATCTGTAATCTTCCAGCCATAACCATAGACGATGCGCCTGCCTGCGTCCAGCATCCCTGTCGGGCTCCACGTACATGTAGACAAGAACTATCGCGCGCTTCGCGCGCGCTCAAGTTCTAGCTAGCTTGAAGGATAGCGCGTGGCGGAAGGAAGAAGAGAGGTCAGCCGTGGCAGGCATCCTGGTCGAATTAGCCCCGATTGCGTCCTTCGTCCGTCGTCCTTCGTCCGTCGTCGTCGCCACCCTTGTCGCCGTCTTCTGCGTCGACGTCTGTCGTCCGAGGCACTCTTCGTGGCCAAGGCTGGTTTCCAAACGCACCCCTGGGCATCGCAGTTTTTTTGTTTTGCATCTTGGGCTGCCTGGGACGCCCGAAAGGCGTCTCAGGAGCGTCGGGGGTCTTGGGCTTCCGGGAGCCCAGGGCTGGAAATGTCCGTTCGGCCCCCGCCTGGACCGCTGGGCTCTTGGGGGCCTCGTTCTGGCCTGCTGGATGCTGCTTGGGGCCGCTCGGGGGCCTCTTGGGCTCTCTTGGGGGCCTCTGGGGGCATCCTGGACTGCTTCCTGAAGTCGACATGGGACCTTCTTGGCATGTCTCCGTGGGCCTCCTAGAAAAAGTTTTGAAACCTTTTGGGTGACGTCTTGGGGCCTTCTTGGGGCCTCTCTTGGGCTTCTCGGGGGCCTCTTGGGGCCTCTCGGGGGCCTCTTGGGGGTTTCCTGGGGACCTCTCGGGGCCGCTTGCGACCATCTTGGGGCGGAGAGCAGTTCGCGTTCCCTCTCTTAGGCCCCTGTTGGGGCCTTCTTGGGGCCTTATTGCGCCGTCTTGGGCGGCTCTGGGCCCGTCTCGGGGCTCTCTTGGGCCGTCTCTGGGCCCTCTCGGGGGTCTCTTGGGCCGTGTTGGAGCAGTTTTGGGAGCTTCTTCTTAGCGCCGGAAACACGAAACAGGGAGAATTCAAAAAACACTGGAACGAAAACCAATGAAAATCAACGATATTACCTTCTCGGGGCGGTCTTGGGCGGCATCTTAAAAGCCTTCTGGGTCGTCTCGGGGGCCTCCGGGGCAGTTTAAGGCGCATCGCGCGTCGCCAGGGACTCCTAGAAGGGGGTCCTGGGGGTGTCTCGAAACCGTCTGGGATTGCTGTCTGAGGGCTCCCGGGGGCGATTTTATCGGCCTCCCAGAGGCGGGCCCGGGTCCCTGCACGCGAACGTGCGCGGTAGAGGTCGCGGCCCCGGGGGCCCGGGCCCCGGCGCGCCATTGCATGTGCGCCGTAGCACCCCGCAGACGCGGATAAGAGTGAGGGGGCGGCGGAAACGTCGGCAGTTTGCGACTCTGGAGAAGCCCGCCACAGGCGCCAAAGATCCACAAATCATGCAACGAGCCCGAAGCAGGCGCCGACTTTTTCGCTAGACCAACGCGGGTAAATCGCGGGTGGGTCGCGGGTGGGTCGCAAATGGGTCGCTGTTGGGTCGCGGGTGTAGAAGGCAGAAGATCCATCCCATAATATTCACCCCGACAACCGAAGCCGTTTAGTAAACGCACACAAGGAGTTAATCGAACAGGGCAGGGCTGTTTAGTAAACGCACAGGGCGGGTAAACGTCAATTGTCGGGTCCGGGTGGCTTCTCCTCCTTTGAGGGTTCGTCGCGGGGTGGGTCGCGGGCGGGTCGCGGGGTGGGTCGCGGGTGGGTCGCGGATGGGTCGCGGGGTGGGTCGCGGTTGGGTCGCGGGGTGGGTCGCGAGTGGGTTGCGGGTGGGTCGCGGGGTGGGTCACAGTTGGGTCGCTGGTTGGGTCGCGGGTGGGTCGCGGGGAGGGTCGCTGGGTGGGTCGCGAGGTGGGTCGCGGGGTGGGTCGCGGGTGGGTCGCTGGGTGGGACGACGACAACGAACAATAACAACAACAACAACAACAACAACAACAACAACAACAACAACAACAACAACAACAACAACAACAACAACAACAACAACAACGTTAACAACAACAACAGCAACAACAACCACAACAACCACAACAATATTAACAACAACAACACTAACAATAGCACCAACAACAACAATAGCAGCAACAACAATAACGACAACGACAACGACAACGACAACGACAACGACAACGACAACAACAATAACAACAACAACAACAACAACAACAACAACAACAACAACAACAACAACAACAGCGCAACAAGCAGAATCCTCACCACAAATTCCTTAATTATCCGGCCACGCGCCCAGGGACACTGAATGACCGTTCGGCCCCCCAACTCTGACACAGATGAGCGTGATACCCACGTTTCCCCCCAATGGAGCGGATGACGAGCACGCGACCACGAAATTCGGAAGGTGTGCGGACCGGCCGAAACGGATAGGCTCCGTGAGTGCGTCGACTCGTTCCGATGGCGACTCCGCAAAATCTGTTGGCCGTGGTGCCATCGCCACCTGCGTGCTAACCCGAGGCAGGCGGAGGAGGGGGAGCCTCGAGGAAGAAAAAGAGAGGGAGGAGGAGCCTCGAGGAGGAGGAGCCTCGAGGAGGAGGAGAAGCCCCCTCCTCCTCGAGACTCCTCCTCCTCCTCCTCCTCGAAAGATGTGCTTGGCCTGCGGCAGGCTCTGCACCCCCCACGGGGCCGGCCTCTGCCGCCCCAGCCGGCCCGGTGGCGTGGCGGCAGCTGTGTCGGCGGTGCGTGGGACCTGCCTGGGGCCGGCCCCCGCGGAGTGCCACGCCGGTGGGGCTCGTAGGAGGCCGCTCGCCATGGCATCGGAGGAGAAAGACGATCGCCAGCGGGCTGGCCACGGCATACATGTGGCCATGATGTCTGGGCAATCGCCTACGGCGCCGCCGCCAATGAGAAGGAGGAGAAGGAGGAGGAGGAGGAGGAGGAGGAAAAGGAGGGGGAAGATGAGGTGGAGGAGCAGGAGAGAGGCAGAGGAGCGGAGGGGAAGGGTAGGGAGTTGCTGCCGTGAGGTCTCGAGCAAGCGTGGCAACGACTGGAAGGACCTCCAGGGTCCCGTGACCGATGGGCGGCCAAACGTCGGCCACCCACTGCGCCGTGAAGCAGCCAGGAACGCGCCAGGGTCTGGGCCCTAGGAGGACGTTCTCTCTCCGATGCCGCCGCCGCCGCATGCTGCGGACCTTGCCCTCTCGTGCTCGGCCGCACTTCCCTGGTCGCGGAGGACGGCGAGAGCACCGATGCGGAAGCCCTGGAGCGCTTGTCGCTGTCATTACTTCTCGCACCTCTGAAACGTGTCCGGGTCGACTCTGCGCGGGTGCCGCGCGCGGAACGTGACCACGGAATCGCGCATCAACGGGATCGCGCCACGGATATGTGAAGGGGCCCTGAGAAACACAAATATACACATACACACAAATAAAAGGATTCCCCATATTTTCCCATATGTTCTAGGTTTTTGTCTCCCCCCCCCACTCCCCATATTTTCCTATATTTTCTGGGGAATCGAGGATTAACTGTGTCTGTGTGTTTTTTTCCCTCCTGAATATGGCCGACTCCAGAGACCCTGAATCCAAAAATGCTGGCGCCTCGTTTCTGGTTCCGCTGGCGGAGCCGCCGCCAGTCTAGTGTCGCCGACTGCCGCCGTCCGACCGCCGAAAGCAGAGGCCACAGCATCCGACGATGTGCTGTTTCAATCCGCGGCGCCAGGACGTCTCGAAGACCCAACGGGTGCTTGTTCGTCCCAAATCTATGCTTGATCCTTCCAAGGCCCTGAAACGCCCTCCAGAGGTCGAAGCGAAAAAAAGGCCAGGATTTGACAATAACACAAAGCAAAATCTCGTCGGATATCTGAGGATGCGCCGAACTCGAGGCCCCTTTTTTTGCAACGCCCCGTGTGGATACAGTCGGGGCGTTGACCTAAGGAACTCTGAACAAGGAACGAGGCCCCTTTTTTCCCTAAGTAAAACTTCGATTCCCCATCGAAAACCTACGGACAACCCAAGGCAAGCTGCGAAACAGTCAAGGAACACGGAGCCCCTCCCCAACAAAAAGGGTTCCTTCTGCAGGGCCCCGACTGTACTCGAGGGCTGCCAGACGGTGCCCCAGGGCCCAGAGCCTCCCGCGGCCCCAGAGCCACACCCCTGACGAGGCCTGGAGGGCCCCCGGGGGGGCTCCGGAGTGGCGCGAGAATGCGTTAACGGGCGAAGAACGGTGTAACATAAACCTGTTCGCTGTCGGGGGCGCCTGCCCCAGGGCGGCTGGAAAGTTTATACTCTTACGGTGGCATTCCAGCCGCCCAGGGGCAGGTGTCTCCGACGGCGGACAGTTTATTTTATACCGTTCTTCGCTCGCTGAATGGGCGTACCCTGGGCCAGGGTCACCTGCACCGGAGGCTTGGAAGTGGGCACCGGCACCAACACGGGAGTGTGCCTCCACCAGGGGAGGGTGATCCTAGGTTTCAGGGTCGACGGCAATCTTACGGGCCACCTGGGAGAAGCCCGAATCTTACCAGCACGCCCCGAGATCGGAATAGCCTACCCTCGGTGGAGGCACACCGCCGAGATTGGTGTTGGTGCCAACCTCCTGGCCTCGGAAGCTGGGCGCACCTTTTGGCGGCGCGCACAGGGGGGTAGGGGGAGGGGGGAAAGGCTTCTTAGAAAGACGCTGCTTCTTAGAAGGAGCGGGCCTTGCATCCACAGACAAGGCCCGCGCCTTCGAAGGAGCGGGGGTGCTCCTAAGAAGCCTTCCTCTTTTCCTCCTGCCCTTCGGTCGGGCATGTCCCTTTACAGGCGAATTTGGGGCGAGCATTAAGAAATAACTAGTCTTAAAAATAATTGACAACTTGTAGAAAAATCGTCCTCAAACTATTCTCTGGCTATTTTTGAACATTTCCCCTGAAGAGGGGCGCGCCCGACTTAAGCCTACCCCCTCTGCGCGTGGCCGCACCCGGGGCCAAGAGCACCGCGTGGCAGCCCCCGAGGATGTGGTGCGCGCCGCCCGTTGCCGGTCCGGCAGGCGCGCGGACTCGAAGAGCGAACGCAGCGTCCTCACCACGCGGGTCTCCCGCAGCGCGGCGATGAGGACGACCACGGTGGAGTTGTCCCGCGGCAGCGCGGCGCGGAAGTCCCTCGCGGGGCGGCGAGGTCTCCACACGCCCAGGTACCCGACGATGCAGGAGTGGCTCCATCGGGGTGCGTGCTCGAGTTCGGCCCTCGGGCCCCGATTTTTCGGGCCACGGGGCCGTCAAACAGCGGGGCGAGAATGAGGTCATGATAAGATTGGCTCAGGGTTCGTTCCCAAATTCCCAAGAAATATCTGGCGATCCTCCTTTGTGCATCCCGTGTGGACCATTCGGAAGTATGGGGAATCCGGAACCGTGCAAACCTGGAACTGATCATTATCATGACCTTTTGCTCCTCTGATGAATGCACCGTGGACTTCACTCAAAGCGTGCCAGTACACAGTAGCCCAGGTCAAGCTATACGAAAGCTCTACGAAACCATCCCCGAGCCCAGTCCAGAATCTTGTTCCCAACCATCCTATGGTGTTGGGTCCTCGTTTTGCAGAGATGGCCCCCGCGTTCAAAGTCTTCATCCTCCCGCTGCCCCCTCCCTCCTCTTTTCGTCATCTTCATCATCATCAGAATCATCGTCACGATCGTCATCATCATCATCATCATCATCATCATCATCATCATCATCATCATCATCATCATCATCATCATCATCATCATCAGCACCATCACCATCACCATCACCATCACCATCACCATCACCATCAGCATCACCATCACCATCACCATCACCATCACCATCACCATCACCATCACCATCACCATCACCATCACCATCACCATCATCAATCATCATCATCATCATCATCACCACCATCATCATCATCATCATCATCATCACCACCACCACCACCACCACCACCACCATCATCATCATCATCATCATCATCATCATCATCATCATCATCATCATCATCATCATCATCATCATCATCATCATCATCACCACCACCACCACCACCACCACCATTATCATCATCATCATCATCATCATCATCATCATCATCATCATCATCATCATCATCATCATCATCATCATCGTCACCGTTCGTTTCAGCACACCCTTCACACGTTTCGTAACCCCACATGGAACTCCACCGAAGGCCCCCGTGGGGGTACCCGCATGCGCCCGCCACACCCAATACAGCGCTTCGCGGCCCCATAGGGAACTCCACCGAACGTCCTCGTGGGGGTGCCCGCATGCGTCCGCCACACCCAGTACAGCGTTTTTTTTTCCCGCGAGGCGTGGAGCACACGGTGCTCGTCGCAAGCTGCTGACAGCGTACGGGGTGGAGAAGAGAGAAAACCAGCGAGATGAGCAAAAAACATCATGCTAAGCTGAGTGCGCGCACAAGTCCGCTCGGCAGTGAAAGACGAGATAGGAGAAGTGGAGAATCTGCCCGCCATGCAGAGCGGGAAGATTACCGACGCTCCATTCACACATGCGCGGGCTTCAATGCGCCACGCCGCCGCCGAGCACCTGTCAGCGCGGGTGCCCCCGTCCGCGTGGATGAGAAAATTCACGCGTTTGGCATCAACCGAACTGCCGGGAGGCTCGAACCGTTGATTCCACGACATGTCTGCATTCATTATGTGATTCGCAAGATGGTCTGCTATTTCGTTCCGGCAACGCTGGTGCCACTGGATAAAATTAGAGCCGCGCCGGTTCGGCAATCGGCCGCCCTCCACCAAGTCGAAGAGTTCCTCAGTCACCCTGGTGAAAGATGGGGAGCAAGTCATCGTTCAACAACACGACGCCATCGTTGAGGATGCCAGCAAGCGGCTGGCAATCGGTAATGAAACAAAAACGGCCCCTGTACCGTCCCAACGTGTCGGGGGTAGGCCTTCACCATGAGACTTGGGAAGCTCGCGCAGGCTGTAAGCGTCAGTTTTCAGGTGTTTCTCAGGAGGAGGCCGCAAGGGCAGCGCGTCCAGGTAGCATTGCTCTGGATCGACCGGCTTGGGAGCTCCACCGAAGGCCCCAGCGGGGTTGCCCGCATGCGCCCGCCACACCAAGTACAGCGCTTCGTGGCCCCATAGGGAGCTCCACCGAAGGCCCCAATGGGGGTGCCCGCATGCCTCCGTCATTGGGGGTGCCCGCATGCGTCCGCCACACCCAGTACAGAGCTTCGTGGCCCCACAGAGAGCTCCACCTAAGGCCCCAGTGGGGGTGCCCGCATGCGTCCGCAACACCCAGTGAAGCGTTTCGTGGCCCCATACGCCACTAAAGGCCTGAATGGGGATGCCCGCATGCGTCCGCCACACCCAGTACCGCGCTTCGTGGCCCCATATGGTGATGCGATGCGATGCGACCACCGTTGCGGACAGCGTCCGGGCCTAGAGCAGACCAGGTGGGTGAGGCCATGGCCTCTAGGATCTGAGGTGTCTGGATTCATGCAATGAGAGACATGTAAAAAGTTAGGAGGAGAGGGGGAGGAGGAGGAACAGAAAGTCCTTGGTGTCGGTGTCGGCGCGGGTTGGGCGAGATTATGTCATTGGTCTGAGTCCCGGGTGCTGGTCGACGTGAGGTCGGTGAAGTGGTACTCGAGCGCTGTCCATGCTTCGGTGTCTTGGGCTGTTTGCATCCATGTGATGTCGTTCGATTGTCCTTTCGAATGGGCTTGCGTGGGCGGTCGGTGGAGGTCTGGTCTGCGTTGACGTAGTAAGTGGTGATTTCGTCGTCCCAGCGCTTGTTTTGGCCACCGTGCTGCCTGTGTCCCCGCTGGCGCGGGTTGAGGACTGGGTGCCAGCGCAGCACTCGCCATGTCCACCTCGTCCAGTCGTGGTTTGCGACTCGTGAGCTCCACCGAAGGCCCCAGTGGGGGTGCCCGCATGCGTCCGCCACACCCAGCACAGCGCTTCGTGGCCCCATACGGAGCTCCACCGAGAGCCCCAGTGGGGGGGCCCTCATGCGTCCGCCACACCCAGCACCGCGTTTCGTGGCCCCATACGGAGCTCCACCGAAAGCCCCAGTGGGGGGGGGGGGGGCCTCATGCGTCCGCCACACCCACCGCCCAAGCCCAGTGGCGCAGCCCGCATGCGTCTCCCGCACCCAGCACAGCGCTTCGTGGCCCACTAAGGAGCTCCACCCAAGGTCCCAACGGCACGGCCCGCATGCGTTTCCCCCACCCAGTACGACGCTTCGTGGCCCCATAGGGAGCTCCACCTGAGGTATCACTTGCCCAGCCCGCATGCGTCTCCGCACCGAGCACAGCGTTTCGTGGCCACACAGGGAGCTCCACCGAAGGTCCAAGTGGCGCAGCCCGCATGCGTCTCCTCCACCCAGTACAGCGCTTCGTGGCCCCATAGAGAGCTCCACCGAAGGTTCCAGCGGTGCAGTCCGCATGCGTCTCCCACACCCAGTACAGCGTTACGTGGCCCTGCAAAGGGGCTCCACCGGAGACGATACCTACAACTGCGGTGTTCACAACTGCATATGATTGGGTCCTTTGCCAGGCGAGTTCTTCTGAAGCGAAAACTGGAGCCCATAAAAGTGTATGTTTGCTTCTTGAGATTTATGACACCACCCTCGGGAAAGCGGCCGGAACTTCCTGGGGCCGCGAATTGATATAAAAGGCGTGTGCGTGTGTATATATATATACACTAAAGCGCCAACTATACATATATACATATATACATTTATACATATATACATATATATACACCAACATATAATTATATAGAGAGAGAAACAAAACTCAATGGATATAACGTAAATACATATATACACACATATATGTATACATATATATATATATGTATAAATGTATAAAGAAAACAACGACGCAGGGCAGCGTGACCACCACCCCTGGCCAGAGGCCCATCCCAGGCTCAGACAGCGGAGTGCGCGCCACCCCTGGAGGCACGGGCCGCCGAATGGTGGGCGGCCCAGGCTCGATCTCTGGCCAGGGGGCTGGTCGCGACAGAGAACTGCAGTCAGAAAGTCCAGGGTTCGCTGGGGACTGGTTTGAAGGGGCCCTGGGACACACAAATAAATAAGCACATATCCCAGGATTCCCTCTATTTTCCAATGCCTTCTGGGTTTTCGTCTCCCCCCCCCCACTTCCCCTATGTTCCCACATCTTCGTGGGAGTCGACGATGAATTGTCAGCGCAGTGACTCTGCCTAGCCGCCGACGAAAAATTGTGTCTGTGTGATTTTTCCCATCCTGACGGTTTCCTTTCGAAACGGGAAGGGTTCCGGGAGGCCTAATCGAAGGGATCGGGGAGGGTTTGGGAAGGGTTTTCGTCTCCTTGGGGGGGGGAAAACAGCCCCTGGCGAACCCCGGGCTTCCTTGAACTACATACCGTGTTGGGTGTTGGGAAGAAGGAATTGGGAAGATACATGGCACGACTGTGCAAGAAGCAACCTCAACATACTCGAGGATACGGATGATCTGGTCATTCCTCCCAGCCCATCCACCAAATAACTGTGTCTTTCTGAGTTCGGCTACACGCAGGAGTGACCCTGGGTAAGAGTGACCTTCGGTGCGCGGCTTTTTGGGGGCCGCGGGGGGACCAAACACAGGCGCGCAAGGCGCTACTGTCGCGTCGCGTTCGGCGATCGGGGGGCTTTTTGGGGGCCGCGGGGGGACAAAACACAGGCGCGCAAGGCGCTACTGTCGCATCGCGTTCGGCGATCGGGGGGCCCCACTGGGCCCGCACCAAAGGTCACTCCGGCGAATGGTCACTCCTACGTCTAGCCGGTGAGTGGTGGGCACGTGTGGCTCGTCCGGCCTCGTGGGCGGGTGGGGCTGGGGGTCCCCCGGCTGGAAGAAGGGCTCGGGCACCTTCCGGAGCAGCACATCAAATTTCGCAGGTCCGCGCGGATCTGTGGAGTCTGCGCCAGACCCCCACACACACACCGGCTTAAAAAAAAAAAATGAATGCGGCAACGACCAGCATGGCCACCCAACACGAAGGAACAGTGTGAGGGATCCTGGGTGCCCTCGCCAAAACAAGTCGCGAACAGGAGGGGGTGGGGAGGACGGGCAGGAGAGCGCGGGGCGGCGCAAGGGGGCGACGACGGAAGCGCCGCCATGCCAGGGGGGGTCCAGCGCCGACCCCAGAAATCCGTGCGGACCTGCGACAGCTCAACGCTTTGGTTTGGGTTGTTTCCTGTGGCCTTGCTCCACTCCTTGGTGCTGCTCTCCAGGACGATGTTTTAGATGCTCGTTCTGGGGGCCTTCCTGGAGCCATTCGCTCCACTCACGCGTCGATGCTGCGTCGAACGTCCGTCGACTTGAATTGAACCTGAGTCGAACTCGAGTCGAACTCGAGTCGAGCTATCGAGTCGGGCGAAAGTCCAACTGGAGTCGAACCAGAGCCGATCCGACCCGACAGGTGGGCCTCGGGAAGGTCCCCAGAACGAGCATCCAAGATGTTGGGCGTCTTCCAGCCGACCCCCCCGTCCGCGAGGGCCGTCTGGGCCGCGAGCGCCGCCACTTGGAGCGCCAGGAGCGTCGCCTGATGGGCCGGTGCAGCCGTCGTGCTACCATTAAGTCGGGCGTGTCCCCCTACAGGGGTATCTTCGACGAAAAATAAAAAACAAGCGAAACATACTCCAAAATTGTCAAACATTCCAAAAAATAATCCCCAGGCTATTGTTTTACTGGTTTTGAAGACTGCCCCTGTAGAGGGACAGGCCCGACTTGCTGCTGCCGCGAGGGCCCCGACCTCCCCTCCTCACGCAGAGGCCGCGGCGCTCGGACGCGGCTCCTGGGAGCAGGCAGCCCTCGGCCCGACCTAAGGAACGACGGATGAGGAACGCAGCCCCGCTTCCCAGAGGAATGACGCAGAAGGAGCGATGAATGCCAGATGGCGCAGCAGGAGCGAGGAATCACGCCTGCGAACACAAGGAGCGGCCGAGCCCCTTTTGAAGAGTAAGTGCTCCCTGTTCAGGCCGCTCGCTGTATTCGTCAGAACGGTGAAGGGCCGGTGAGCCCGACTCGGGGGCCACGGAGCGGGATCCGCCCGGATCAAGCCCGGGCTTCAGCTGGATGAAGCCGGATCAAGCGGGATCAAGCCAGATTACAGTCGGGGCGTTGACCTAAGGAACCCTAAATAAGGAACGAGGTCACTATTTTCCATAAGTTAAACTTCGATGTCCCATGGAAAACCTGGGGAAAGCCCAAGGAGCGCTGTAAAACAACTAAGGAACACTGAGCCCCTCCCAAACGAAAAGGGTTCCTTCTCCAGCGCCCCGACTGTAGGCCCTTGCTCATCCAGGGATCTTTTTGCGCCGATTCACAGCTTGACCTCCCCAAGAGTTCCATCCCAGTCGACGGGAGGTCTCTGACAAATTCTGGCCTCCAGGATGGAGAGCAGGTCCTACAGAAGTGGCGTGCTCAGACCTCTGGGGGTCGCCGCGGTGAAAGAAACACGACGCCAGGGGCCTGGGGAACGCTGAGGAGTACAGTGCGGACGCGGCCACCAGAAACCCTCGCCAGAAACCTAGCCCTGACAAGACCCGCGCGCGAGGTGCGGCTGGTGTTAAGTCGGGCCTGCCCCTCTACAGGGGGAATATTCAAAAATAGTCGAAAAATACTCTGGGGACTAGTTTTGAAGTATGTTTGGGCATCCTTTGGATATTTCTGGGGTATCTTTAATGTTTCGTCCCAAATCCCCCTGTAGGGGGACAGGCCCGACCTAAGACTGGTGGGAAGCCCAGGGCAGCCAGAGCCCAGCAGCTGCTCCCACGGCCGCCGAAGCTCCCCGCGCAGTGCGCGGAGCGAAGAGACCCGAGGCACCCCGACGAGGAGAGCGGGCGGCTTCGATCGTGCGCGCCCCGCTGTAGAGATACGACGAGGCCGGGGCGCAGGACGAGGATGAAGTCGGGCGGGGATCCATTCAGCATCTCTGAGGTCCGGCGGCTCTGGAGGATGTCGCGGGCGCCGCGGCCTTCCCAGAGCGTTCCGGAGCGCTCTAAGTGCGTTTCCTCGTTCTAGCCCCGTCCGACCATGCCCCACCCAGACATGCTCGCGTCGTGGCAAATATCACGATGAGGGGGATTGGCCGTTTTCTGCCTCGGGGGCCCTCAACGGGCCGTCAAACCACAACTCAGGTTGAAACACCGGGCCTGGGAAAAGGATCGGGACCTTCTTGGGACCCCGTGTGGAAAAAATCGGCACATCGGCTTTCTAGGTAAGCGATCGAGATCTGTTCCATGCCCCCGATCACGCCCCGACCCCCGCGAGAGGCCAGAGCGGGGACCTTGACAAAGTCAATGCCCTGCTGCACCCGGCGCCCGAGAGTGCGGGGCAGCAGCAGAGGCACGCGTCGAACGTCGATCGCCCAGGGCCCCGAGCGAAAAAAGCGCGGCGGCCAGCGTACATATGTCTACGCTTCGGCCGCGCGGGGGGCCCTCAGGGGCCCCCGGGGGCCGTCGGCAGAAGCTCCTCGGGAGGAGAGCCTGGCCGCTGGGAAAATGGCCCGGACCTCCGGGGGCCACCGCGAGAGCGGCGAGCCTGTCCTGATGTCGGGCGTGCCCCCCCTACAGGGGGATTTTCGACGAAAAAAAAACAATACCCCCAAATACCCCCAAAAGGTCAAACAAATACTCACAAAAATAGTCCCCAGACTATCTTTGGAAACTCCTTGGACTCTCTTGGAACTATTTTGGGGTATTATTATATTTTCGTCGAAATGCCCCTGAGGGTACAAGGCCGACCTAGAGACTGGTGGAGAGCCCAGGGCAGCCAGAACCACAGCAGCTTAACCCACGGCGGGCCGAAAGCCGCGAGGACGCCGAGGAAGGAGGAGGAGGTAGGAGGAGGAGGAGGAGGAGGAGGCAGGGGAGGCAGGAGGAG